ACAGCCACATCATGTTGAAGCACTCGTTTCATACAATCACTGAAGTTAAGCAACGTTGACCCTGGTCAGTACTGAGATGGGTGACCACTTGGGAATACCAAGTGCTCTAATAAATAATAGCTCTGAACAGTTAATCAGAGAGGAGAGTTCTAATTCCAGTTGGGTTCTTTATATTTACTTATGCACTAATACCCTTGGAAAATGAATGAATCCACCTCTTCTCTCCCCAGCTATGGGTTAATTAGTAAAAATGGTATCACTAAATCATTATCTCCAAAAATGAAAAATAAATGTGTAAATATATTTAAATTTTGGCTTCAAATAAAAGCGGTTGAAATGCTACTTATTATCATAATCTAAAAATAATTTTTGGCTTTAAATAATCTGCAAAGAGTTGATAAGCCAGAGAGAAGAAATCGATTCAGTAAATAAAGAGTGTCTTGATATTAAGTTTAAGGGCCCATTTTTGACAGATATTATGCAAAATAAAAAAAAGTTAAAATATCAGGTTACTGCAAAATCAATCTATACAAGTATAAATTATAAGTTATCATGAATCAGTATAAATTAAACCAGAAATTATTCTTTTGTTTTCTAATCTATGACAAATACAATTCTTGTATAACTATTTCTATAACTACTTTTTTGCTCTATACACATCTTCAGGGAAAAGTGAATATATGTAATTATTTCCTTTATATTTGAGATTTCTTCTCTAAATATCATTACTTTTGTTTGCATGTCTGAAAATGACAAGTATCTTGTTTATTTTTAAAATTTTATTTTCCACTATAGAAAATAAGAATTCATCCATTTTATGTCTTCTCTATTTTGATTCAAATTTTCCACTCAACGTTGCCTTGAATTGCAAGTGAATTTTATTCTTTTTAATAAGTACCAGTCACTGGTAGATATCTTTGTTCATTTGGAGAAAAGTTGTGTGTCTTCTTTGCATTAAGGAAAATAATATAGCACGTTACTGTTCAAAGGTTACCATTATTTCTAGGATTTTAGTGGGCTGCTTGTGCTCAAGTACCCAAGATGGAAATGAAAAACTTCTCAGCCACACACAATTATAATCATCTACTTAAAATGTAGAAGAATTTTTATAGAGAGAGAATCAATAAGATTGCATGATATATTGATTCTTATATAATAATTATTTAGCAAACAAAGTTTGAAGATTTTTTTAATGTTATTAGATCAAGTCATAAGTGTTTTCCATTTTGGAAAGAATCAATTGCAATAAATTTCTTATCCTGTTCTTTTTCAGGTAACGAAATGTGGGTTACATACGAGGCCTGTCTGAAAAGTAATGGTACTGATGTCAAAAACAATTTATTTCAATTCCAAACAACTACATGGTTACCCTTTCAAAATAATCTACCTCAAGTCTAACACCCTTTTCCACCCTTCTATGACATGCTTCTATCAATTTGAAGGGAAAAAAAATGATGAAAGCTAGATTCAAGAATCCATCAGAAACTTTCACATGAAAACCTGCAGAATTTTACTCCAAAACCTGCAAAATTTTATTTAAAAAAAGCATTGAAGAGCAAAACCTGATAAGTGGCAATAAGTCATTGAAAATAATGATGAATATACAGGATGTTGCAGAAATCCCTCCCAGAAAAGGGAAAGACATTAACTAGATGAAAACATTATTGCCACTAATGTCTTACCATTATGTGGGAGGTATTTCTCAGAAATCTAGGATGACAAATATGACTATCTCCCTTTGGTATAGATGAAGTCACATGGGTAATGTGATGGCCACTTCTTTTTTTTTTTTTTTTTACAATAAGGTTCCCCCTGTATAAAATTCAGGGGCCACTCAAGGTAGAGGGTGACATTAAGGGGCTGTTTATATGGATAGGAGGGGAAGATAATGATTAGACTTGAACAGGTTAAGATTGTAGTGATCAGGGAAACATCCTCTAGGGAGTTTGTTCCATAGGGCAGTGGTTTGAAGGAAGAAATTGTTTGAGTGGAACTTACTACTTGCCAATGGAATACGGAGGGAATGCGGGTGATATGCAACTATGTAAGTGGCATGATGTATCCTAGCCATGAAGGTCTGATCTGGTGGAACCAGGAGATGCAGTTCATCAGAGCACTTTGTATGGTAGTAGTGATAAAGCAGTGTGAGACTTGCCACATCCCACCTATATTAGACAGTTCGGAAGGTGGAAAATAATTCTTCTCCTACAAGGATTTGGAGACGGTTTTGAACTATCAAAACTGTAAAATGTGGTCTGAGTAGTTCCTTCCCAAATGTGATAACAGTATTTAACTGGTTCATATAAAGGTAGAGGATAGCAAAAGGAGTCAGGCACTTTCTGGAGCAGAACAGGAATTCTGTTGGAAGTCAGGTGTGAGTTTGAGGCCCAATATTGTCTCTAGGCATGGAGCCTCCTCGAGAGAACATCAGTTCATCATAACTGGCAGTAGTTCAGGTTCTGATCGGTACTGATAGAATGTAACCAGTTTGGTTTTTGACACATTGAATTTAACCAGCCAGTTTATTTTTCCCCACTGGGAAGTTAGTATTAGATCAGAAGAGAGGTCAGCTACCAATCTTCAAGACTTTTAGATGTGAGTGCATAATTACTTGGTAGGTCATTTATGTAAATCAAAAATTAGATTGGTCTTAGAAGTGTCCATTGGGGGGTAGTTGCATTGACTAACAGGTCCTCATAAGACTGCACATTAATAACTACCTTCAGAGACCTACAAGTTAGGAAAAGATTTTATAATCAAGAAAACCCTTCCAGTGATTCTATAGTTGGAGAGATTGTGTAGCAAAACATTGTGCCACACCTGTCAAAAGTTCATGCAGTATGTGTGTTGTCCAGGGCTTCACTAATTCTGTGTGTAATGGTAGTTAGGACATCAGCAGAGGATTGGGCTGATCAAAAACCATACTGCTCATCGCACAAGAGGTTGTTCCTATCCACATGCTTAAGCTTACTAATGATACTGAGGAGACTAATTGGTCTATACTGGGAGGGGGAGGATCAGTTGCTTGTGTTCTTGAAGACCATGCATATGCTTACCACCTTCCACATGCCTGGTAAAGATTTCTCCTATAAGCAGCGGTTAAATAGTTTTGCTTGAATCAGGGATAATTCTGGGTTGATATTCTTAAGGAAGACCATCAAAATTTTGTCTCAGTCAGTGGCTTTTTTTGTGGGGGGGGGGGTCAAGGTTTTCAATAAGTTTCAAGACTTCTCTTAGTGATGTCATTTCATAGAGTTACAAAAGTGGCTAGTTACTTTCTAGGAAACAAATCAAGCAGTTGCATTTTTAGCCCAGGGTGGCTAAATCTACCTTCATATGTCCTCACTAGTGACATAGATGAATCCAGCCTGCTCAAATCTGGAATTTTAAATATGGTTTCCCCAGAAACACAGAAGAATCTCCACCAGCTCTATTCCTGTTATGAATTATTTAAGTAAACCCTATCTCTGTTTCTTTCATGCTGTTATTGCATATATGCAAGACTGCACAGAAAACAATGACAAACTAGAGAAAAAGATTAATTTGAAATATAATCAACTCTTTTAATGAAACCCAGTACAAAGATTTTCCAAATCCTGGGGTAAGTTATTCCATGGATTCTTCCATAAAATTAACATTTCTATTCTTAAGCCTTCTTCAGATGTTAGAATTCATCTAATCAGAATACAGAATTTTCTATCATTATTCAAGACATGGGTTTCAGAAATGTCTAAGTTCTTTTTTAATTAACAATGCCTGCAAAAACCTGACACCCAAAACCAGAACTTTCAGTAACAAGTACCAACTATCACAAGAATTATACATGAAGAAAACTAAAGAATTTGTTCACATAAACAATGACAAAACTAGTAAAAATACTACAGCAAGCAATCCACTGACAAACCTTAAACAAAATTGGTTTCTTTCAAAGAAAATTTTTGTTAAAAAAAAAACATTGATTATATACATTTTATCAACACTGTAGAAACATTTACCATGTTAACACTTTCACTGTCATATATAATTAGATAACAGACATGATTAATTGGATTAACAGTGGGGCTTCAAGTTAAAGTTAAAACACCTATTATATTTTATGGAAGTTTTCTCAACATGAGTGAATAACAAACCTATTACAAGAGCAAATCCAAGCGATCTTTTTGTAAATTAAGTTATATGAAAAATAAGTGATTGGTAAAATAAACGCTTTATATTGACTTTGTTAAAGTCATTTTATCTTGACAATATTCTATAAGGAACACCTGGAGAGAGATGAATTTATTAGGGAAGAGGTGAACACCTCAAATAGGGGGTTGTGTCTATGTATTTCATAAACTAAAAATCTTTCACCTGATGTAATATCAAAAATGAAAAGAATTATTTTCAAATATTTTTCTGTCTGTACATAATGTAGACAATGAGGAAAGGGTACCAAGTTTGAAGGAGAGAAACTTATTTATAAGTGGGAGAAAAAGAAGAAAATGCAGAGAGAACTAAAGTGGGGTATCACACTTATGTGGTAATTTTTTTTAATTCAGGCTTATATATAGGATAACAAATGACAACTGTAAAATTTGGGATGAGCTGACAATTTGTAGTCTAAATTTGTTTTGCAATACAACACAAAAATTAGCAAATATATATATATATATATATATATATATAGTGTGTATGTATATTTAGGCAGCAATTTTTCATTGATGCATGTTTCATTAAATAATATAGATAAGTTTTGTCTATTTATTTTAAGTAAGTTCCTTTCATATTGTCTGATAAGCTTAATCACATTATCATTGAAAGACAAAAGGAAAACATCATATTGATACATGTTTAAATCCAATCTAAGCTTTCGGCTTACACAAGCCATTATCAAAGATGACAATTTCAATAAATCAAACAACACATGGACGAAACAACAATGATAGTCTGCCCTTGCTGCATGAATATTTCAAGTAATGACAAACTTGTATATATGAGAAGCGGAAGTGAAAATCGTGTCGAAGCTCATGATATCACATGACTACGCGAGAGTAAAGAATGAGAAGTATTAAATATGGGAAGCCGTTGGTATAAACCAATGGCTTCTGTTATAAATTATAGGCATTT